CCCCCCTCCCCTTTTCCAGACTGTCCGGGCGACTCTTGGGAATTCAATATCCAGGCGGAATGACAGAGGCGGTACAATATGCAAAATATGAAGTACATCGTCCGCTTTCTCTCCCCACTGCCGCCGGTCCGGCCGCCGCCGCCGCCGCCGCCGCAGCAGCAGCACCACGTAGAGCAGATCGTAATTAAAGTCCAGGATCACATCAGCAGCCACGACACCGAGGTGCACTACACGGCCAAAAAAAGAGAAGAAATCTAACAAATGTAAAAATACAACTATTTTACTAGTACTTCCCAAGCAGGTGTTTGCAGGTCACGGCCAACCTAAAGCCGTTATTTTTCTTCAATAACAATTTTTAATTTTTTTCCCAGAGGAACGGGGTGTGCGCCGCGAAAAACAATTGGCCGCTCCCCGCGGCCGAAATGACTGCTTCGGAATCCCGTCCAAATGACAAATAACAGGCCGCGGATTAACATACAATGCGCCACCAGGCGGACGCGCAGGGGCGGGCCGAGTTAGGAAAGGAAAAGGTGTGGGGGGGGAGGAGGGGGAGGGGGGCTGCTGAGACACAGTTCAGTTCAGTCACGCACAAGAACACCAATAGATCGACGGTATTCAGCCGTAAAACGAACAAGAACCTCAGTACATATAAGGCCTGTACAAAAGATTGTTGCAGCAAATTCTAAAGAAAAATAACAACTTTTGACCCTCGAAATCCAATACAGCGTCCCATCAAAAGGTGAAGAACAACACTCCCCGGCAGTTGAGTTATTTTAATTAATTTAATGCAGTAATGACCTTAGACGTCCACGAATGACGTTTTAACTCGAGCATGGCAGCAAGGGGGGCGTGGCGGCGTAGCGCCCATAGGCCCTGGCATCTGCATGCTGCCGGATCACTTATTGGCAAGGCGGCGGTGACTCACGGCCGCCCGTCACACACACACACACACACACACACACACACACACGCACACACACACGCACGCACACGCACGCACACGCACACAAGGAAGCGCAGCTCGGATTAGAGGGCGGTGCCCACGCCCCGACACGTCCGGACAATTATTAACGTCAATTAAACGTCATCTCAATGACCACTGGTCTAGTAAAGTTTTGCAAAAAAAAGTTGATAAAATTTCGCTTCAGTCAACTTGAGGATGTCTACAGCGGAAATTTTGACGGCGTCAGACTTGAGTAATAATTGTTGTGTTATTGAACCGGTAGCTGTACTCATGGTCAGGTGTGTGCCTGACACACCTGACACACCGTCACGCGTTCGACATGCCGCGCATGGGCGTGGCGGGGCGTGGCGGGGCGTGGCGGGGCGTGGCGTGGCGTGGCGTGGCGTGGCTCAGAAGACCTAGCCCAACAAGTGTGTGCGCTGCACCGTGGGAGCGCAAGGGCGGTCAGTGCAATTCATTACGCGTTGTGCGCAGAGGACTTCCGTCCACACCAACAGGGCTGAGGGCAGGAGGAGAGGGGGGAAGGGGGTGACGGGGGGTCAGGAGGATGAGGGGAGAGGGGGTAAGAATATGGCGCTGTTCGCGCCAACTCGCTAACCGCCGCCACCGCTAGGGGGGCTGCACCGCGCGGCCACCACCGCCGCCACCGACGTGGCGCTCCAGACGAGACGGTCGTCGTCCTCCTGTCCGTCCGACGCGTTCCCACACCGCATGACGGACGGACGGACGGGCGGGCGGACACGCCACACACAAATACACTGCCGGAAACACACACGGTATAGAACTGCGCGTCCTCCTGCTTGTTGGAGGTGACCCATGCATGGGGGCGCAACAGCAAAACACTCTGCTCTGGAGACTCAAGTAGTACAGAGACCATGGAATTACAACTTCAGTGCACATTGTGTGTCCTACACGTATAACAGCGGCCCCTTAAAAAATGTAGTACTGTGCTACTGGAACTTTCAGTGTATTTTTTCATTAAACAAATTTTCGCGCGCGCGTTCGTCCGTTTGGTTGGCAGCACTGGGTGGGGAGGGAGGGAAGCCCGAGGCTCAAATAAAACGGGCGACGGACGACGCGGGCTAAAAATACACACTCGAACACAATGCGGTGTGCCATCGGGCGGGAAATGTTTTGGGTGGCAGTAGAACGGCAGAACTATATGGGCGCGGGTCCGTCGCGTTCGATCAGTCTGTGCTGGCCAGAGCTGGAGAGCGGCGGGTGAGACTCGAAGCTGGGCGGGAGGGGACGGGTGGGAAGGGGAGCGTCTATTTCTAGGCGGCGACACGGCGGTGTCCACTCAGTTCCAGGTGGACAGCGGGGTCTCCGCCGCCGCCCACGGACCACGGGGCGAGGGCGCGCAGGAGGGCCTGACCTAACCTCGACCTCGACCACGTAAGGACAGAGCGTGCCCACGCCCTCGGTCAGAGGGAGAAAGAGAGGGGGGGAGGGGGTAGAGAAAGAGAGAGGGAGAGCAAGAGAGAGAGACAGAGGGAGAGAGCGAGATAGAGGGAGAGGGCGAGAGACCGATCGAGAGGAGAAGATGGAAAATGAAGAAGCGCTACGGACGCTGGTGAGCCGGACGGGCCGAGCAGCAGAGCCAAGCCCGGAGAAGAGGGGGGAAAAACTCGATTAGGAAGGGAAGAACTAACAACAAAAAGGTATAAAACAGTGTGGAGCCGGGCCGTCCGCCGCCAGGAGGAGTCGGAGCCCCAGTCGGAGCCAGGTGCCCTGCTTGGTGCCGGCGAGGGCGGGTAGCCCCCTCCCCCATCTCACCTGCCCGCTCCGCGCCACGATCTTGTCCTGCTCCTCTTCGTCTCTCTCTCTCTTTTCCTCTCCTCTGGACCCGAACCCCTTCCCTCCTCTTTCTCCGTCGGTCTCTCTCTCTCTCTCTTTTTACCTGCCCGGCCGGTCGGCCGGCCGCCCCGCCTTCTCATCCCTTTGTTACCCATCGGGGCAAGGTGGGGCCCCGGGAGGCTCCGTGTGTGAGAGAGAGAGGAGGGTACCTGGTGGAAAGGGGGGGGGGGGGCAGACCAGCTTCTCTCTCTCTCTCGCACACCTGAGCCCGCTCGCTCGCTCACTGTCTCTGATTGTCTCCCTCTCTTGCTCCAGCTCGGCTCCGGGCGTGGGGCGCACGCAGGCCCCAGCCTCACCGGGGGCCCCGCGCAGAAAAGGAGAGAGAGAGACAGAGAGAGGCATGAGGAGGTGTGATAAGCGCCTTTGCACCGCTGTAATCCACTTGTGCTGCGATAACGGCACGCAGAGCCTCAATAGTGCGGAGAGAGAGAAGAAAAATAAAAATAAATATTCGGGACCAGGTTGGCGGCGGCCCTGCGAAGTCGACGCTTCGCGCAGAGGTGTGATTGCTCCCCACGCTCCTGTGCTGTGCTTCCCCGTCGCGACGCTTGCGAAGCTCACCTTGTAAAGAAGCGACGAGCAACAGCACAACTCCAACACGCTCCATGGCTGCGCAGGTGGCGAGAGTCTTGACGAAGTTGAGCACACACTGAATCACAATCACAGGCACTCTCTCGGTAAACTCCAGAACCGGGTATTTGGCAGCGGGTGGTGATTTGAAGTTTCACACAGCACTTTTCACACGCAGAAAATAATCACACATAAACAAAACTAAGAAAAATACAAATTCACTGCCGACGAGATCGTCGTCGCCGGGTTTTCACTCCGCCACTTCCCACGCGCGCACGAAACACGAACGAACAAGAGATATTCCAAGTCCCTCGGGGCACTCCACAGGTGTAACTCCACTCGCCGGCTTGCGCGCTGCTCGCCCTGTCTGCTACGCAACGCGACCGCGTCCAACCTCTCGGCCCGGGGCTTCCAATGCGACTGACGTTGGCGCGCTCTGCCGCCGCCACGCCACGCCACGACGCCGCGCGCCGCTCCGCCGGGCCGGTCGAGCTTGCGCCGCTCGCCGCCCACAGCGCCACTGGTCGGGGGGCCGGCCGGCCGTGGCGCCAAACTCGCCCGGCCGCCCGGCGCCCCCGCCGCGCCGCAAAATTCGAAAAGTTTTATTTCCAATTCGCGTGTCGGCTTGTTCCAGGTGCGAGCTCGGCCTCGGCCCCATGTGACAGAGCCAACGTAGTTATGGTGTGTATTGACCGAACGACAGGAAACGCAGCAAGCTCGACCAGCCACACCGCTGTTTCAAATCAACCATGTGGCACAAACCGTATAGTTTGGTGTTGCAAAATGAAAGTTCAAGGAAATTCCTCACGTAAGACACTGGGCGCGGCATCTAACGCCTTGCCTACTCCTACTAGGCCACGTTCATACATACACCTGTCCCGAAAGGGTTGCCCGACAGCAGGCGCTAGACGCAACCGATTGAACAGCTATGTCCGTGGGAAATTTGCCTATTCGGGTGGGTGACACGGAAATCAAAACGGGAAAAACCAACGTTTTCAGGGCGACGTTTTCAAAACATGATCGAGAAGTCCTTTTCATATTTTTCAGCAAAATAATGTTTCTTGAAAATGTATGGAAAGTTCATTCACAACTCCGTTTTCGAGGCTATGGTTTTGGCACGACAGGCGCGCCCACTCTCCCATGGCCGTGATCTGGAAAGTCCACAGAAAGGCAGCCGCCACGCTACAGTCAGTCGTCGGGCCATCGTTGTTTGGAATTGACCCGTCAAACTATTTTAGTAGTGGTATTCAAATTTTCGTTTTGGCGGCGAAGTGGATATGGAGATGGAGGTGGTGGGGAGGGAGGGGGGGCGCATTCTAATCACATGAGCGGTCGCCGGCCGGTGCAAGAGGTGTGTGTGTGTGTGTGTGAGTGTGTGTGAGTGTGTGTGTGTGTGTGTGCGTGCGTGGGCGGCGAAGGGGCGACCGGCCGCCGCGGCCACCCAACCCTCCCTCCTCGGCCGACCACCCCTCCTTGATCTACTCATCCATCTGCCGCTGCCGTCACGCCCAAGTGCACACACACACACACACACACACACACACACACACACGCACACGCGCGCATACGCACGCATACACCCCTGGCCAGGCCCGCGGCCGCCGCCGCGGCGCGTCGCCCTCCAACACAACAAATGAAGCAACTAAACAAAGAGACGACCACATACGGTGGTGGTGGTGGTTTTGGGTTTGGTATGACAGCCCGTGCGTCCGTCCGGGCCCCTCGGGCACCCCCGCGGCCCGCGGCCGGCCGCCAGCGGACACCACCGTGGCGTGCACCAGCACGTCCAGCACGTCCGCGCAGCAGGGTTTGGTCGGACAGGACAGGGGGCAACGACATGGCGGCGGCGTCGGTTCGGTACGTCGCGGCCGCCCGGTGTACAAGAGCCCTCGCGGGTACAAACACAAACACGACACACACTCTCTGGCCGGCGGCCAGCGGCGGGCTCGCATCGGACAGGACGCGCGCTGCAGGGGGGCCGGCGCGGAACCACGTGAGAGGGGGGTCGACCCCATGGGAAAATTCTACGTAGAATCTAGATCGCACCTACGTAGAATCTAGATAGGACACTACGTTGACGTATAATTTCCTATGGGGTTAGGCACCAACGGCACCACCGGGGCTCGTACTTTGATATATGAGCGTGTATACACACGCGAGTCATTTTAATGCCAATGCTTCTTAAAACGCTCGACAGTTCAATTTTCGCCACACGACGGATAAAGATTTTCGTACATGTTCGCAGTAAGCGATAGCCCGAGCGCCTTCTGACGTGAGTTATGAAAGCACTGTTGTGCTTTTTTAATAAAGCATTCCGGTAAAGCTGAAATGCAGAAGAATGCGGCGAACAAGAAAACGGAAATCGCTATCCTTTAACATGGTGACTTCCGTTTTCTTGTTCCCCGCATTCTTCTGCATTTCAGCTTTACCGGAATGCTTTATTCTCCCGTTCAGAACCGGTACCGGTTCTGCTTCCTCGTTCTTTGTGTAAGCAAAAATAAAGAATAAAATTTTAAAAAGTGCAATATGTGTAGCGATCGAAGGGAGG